TCGGCTAGGGTTTCTTACTTGGCTGACCACAACAAAAGAAAGCAACCAAGTCAGATTCGGCACTTTGCCAATTACACCCAAAACAGTTGGGTTGTTTCCAAAAATTGCAAGGTTATCAAGATTCTGTTTCAACCCCCCAAGTAACGGTGTACAAACCCCAACAAAATCAGTCACCAAATCACACAAGGACAATTTCGGGCAGCCCTCAAAATCTTCCAACACAAGCAAGAGCAAACCCTAATTTGGGCAACAAGTGTAACAAGGTCAGGCAGCCGCTCCTTTTTTTTTTTAACTCAAGCAAAAACAAACCCTAGGAAACCCTAATGACTCTCACAGCTAAACCACAAGGTGTGGCAGCCGCACACGACTCAAGACAACCAACGAGGGATGCAAAACAGAATATTTCAACGCAAGACAAAAGGACACGATTGCAGACTAACTTGGACAGATTTGGGGCGCTTTGGACAGAATTTTTGACTCTCAAACACGACAAACAACTTCAGGTTTATGCGGACAGATTGAAGTCAACAACGGGCAGAATTAAGCACGACACAAAGAAGAGAAAACGACACAAATAATGGAGCAACAAAAATAGAAATTCTAACTCCAAACAAGACAAAACAACGACGACAAAGCTTGGACAGATTTTTTTTTTTCGTAACTCCAACAAGACAGCAAATGACACCAAAAGGACAAAAATGACACAAAGGAAAAAAGAGGGATATATGTGATACCTTCAACTGGCTCTGATGTCAGCTGATACGAACGACACCAACCGTGTGATGCAACCCGTACAGACAGGAAGGATCTAGAAGGTAGGATTCACGTTGGAGCAACGATGAACGCAGCGGATCACCTAAACCCGTTGATTACGTGATCAACGAACCTCTGTATTTGGTAGAAGACGCCAGAATCTAGCGCGGTCCTAGATTGATAAGTCGATTGAATACCTTAAGAATGACTCTAAGATATTCAATGGATGCTTCAAAGAAGCTTTGAGAGAACTCTCAATGTAATTTTTATTAATCATCCAAAGGTGCATGTAACATTCGATTTGAGGCTATTTATAGCCGTGACTAAGACCTAATAAAACTGGAAAAATAACAAGGAAGGTTCGACCAGCCCCTTGGGCCTTCACTTGGCCGAAACTAGCCCAACTAACTAAAGACCGTAAACTTTAGTTGGACCCCCGTACAGCTCAGCGTAGGGACTAACTACGTGGCCCACATGGCCTGGCCCATTGACTCAAGAACTAACAACGACGAAGGTCCAGTCCACAAGCTAGTTGGACCTCTTTATTACACTATACTAAACTAATAATGTTTCATGGACTTCTAATCTTCAGTGATGGCCGAAACTAGGACAACAAGCCTAGCCTCATCGATGGCCTTTGCCTCTTCACTTGACTCTCGGGTCGCACGAACCAATGTTTGTAGTATCTCGTTCAATCTCTTTGAACGAACTCGTGTCATAGGCCCCAGTGGCACCAGCCACATTTTTCCTTGTGTTATCCACATCGTTGAAGTCAACTTCTTCCAGTATTGCTATATCACTGTCCATTTCAGATGTTTCTTTCTCTTTTGTAGCCTGCGTGGCAGAAGTGTTGTGGCCTTCAACCATGTCTCCATCCTCTGTGTTTTGAGTTTGAAGCCTCACTAGATTATCATCTGACTGCACTAATAGATAAACCTCTACCACTCTATTGGGTGGTAATGTGTTTACAAGTAGATCACAATCCCAATCACACATGCAATAATATAGTCCTGTCTCAAGCGGCATACCAGGAAGCCTACCATACCACCCAAAACGAGCATCTTTCGGGTATCCTAATCTTACTGTACATCCATCAAGCACTTATAGTGACCATTTTTTAGCATTACAGTTGTCTATATAGTCTATCTTTCCCCCCACGTATTCTTTGCTGGGAGAGCTTCTGAACTCACCTTGATGGTGTATCGCCAAGGAAAATGGGTCGGGCCAAATGTCATTTGGACAACATTCTGGTTAAATGAAAAAATAAATCATTAATAATTAACCCATTAATTATTTATAAAATTTTTAGCATTTGGGACCACAATGTCTTCAACAGAATGAACATTAGGATTCCCACAACACTCACTTTTCAGTAAATTGTGCAGAACCATTAACACTACCATCCAAAATATATAATGCCTTGGAGATGCATTCCACAACCATCCAAAACCCTAACTTTTCAACAATCCCTATGGCTTTAAAACATATTTGTACTGCTACCTTAAATTCTTACCCAAATTCCGATTATTAAATTAAATTAAAGTACACAAAAAACTCTAAAACATTTTTCTCATACCAGTACTTGTCTTCTCTTTTGCTTTTCGTTGTTTTGCTGCGGATGCTTTTTCTCTCATTATGACTCGCTTTCTTCCCATTCTTGCAATCTTCAGTGTTTTTCAGCCCTAATCATTCAGACAATCCAGCCTATATTTTCCCAATTTTTACAGACTTCGGTTCTCCGCTGCTCTCTATTTTTTCGTCCAAGACAGAGGAAACAAATGACCACTATCCAAGACTTTCCCTCCTTTGCAATTTTTTTTCTTTGTTTGTCCTTAATTTATGACCCAAAATTACATTTGATGTCCTTGTCCTTTTAGTAACAATATTCCCCTATCTTCATTAACGGAGCGTGTTTGCCACGCTCTTCAACCACCAACGGCATTCAGGATTCTGTCAACAATTTTTCTTAATTGACAGGTATTTATAAGTTTAGAGATTTAAGTGTCCCATTTTAAAGTTTAGGGACTAAAGTGGGTTATCGTCCAAAGTTTGGGGGGACAAAGTGGAATTAACCCAGGTTTAAATGGCTCGTGTGTCACGGATAGCTTAATCCAATATAGCCAACTGTTGCAAATGAAGCATCCACATTAATCAGATTCATATAATTTAGAATACTGATTTTACATTATTTCAAACATCATATGCAAAAAATTTTCAGCAACAGTAAAATTCAAAATAATAGGGATGCAACAAATGTTAATACTCTTAAGAGAATGTGATAACTTCTCAAATATTGGAATTTCAAATAAATAAAAATTTAGGTATGTCCGTCTCTACTCTTAAAGATGTAAAATGGAGTCCAGTTATGAGCAAAAATTAAAGAAGAAAATGAGTATCTAACTCATAACAAAAGTTAGGGACTTAACTATTTGAAACAAATAAAAAAGATCAAACCCACAATGCAAACTATCCACAAGACCATAGCAACTAGTGTAATTCATATCATTTTTTTGCAGTCCAAATTCTATTCCTTCAACGAAGCGAAACAAAATAAAAAACTGCAATGAAGATTGCATCCTTATCAATCAGAACCTATTTCTTATGGAATCCACTAATTAATTGCAAATGACCGATAAAAGAGTCAAGAGTTTGGTAGTTTCCATATTTCCATCTATGTAATAAAAGAGTCAAGAGTTATACTACTAGAAGTTTCCATATTTCCATTTATGTAACAATAGAGCCAAGAGTTACATCTATGGAATCCACTCTTTTATTTCTTATAGAATCCATTAATTAACGTTATACTACCAAACTATTTGCAGCCATGCCACATTGAGGCATCTGTCATCCTTGTGAAGACAAGTTTCTCTCATTCTTCATCAATGATTTTTCCTGCTTTACTATACCACTACCATGATAACAATATGCAGAAGGGATGACTTGTGGTTGAGGTTGAAGGACAGGGTTTCTGACACTTGTTCTAGGATCATATGCTTCTTTATTGACATTTCCATTCTTGAATGGTAAGATTGGCCCCATTTCCTTTCCTAGTTTGGCTGCATATCAGGAAATCATATGTTTAGCCAACAAATATCGAATACAAAATCCAATTAGCAGATTGTAAAGAGAGAGAGAGAGAGAGAGAGAGAGAGAGAGAGAGAGAGATATGGGGTGACTTAGTGATGAATAGAGAAATGCTCATGAGAGTAATAGATGCTGTCATTTGACAACAGTTATGCTCTGGTTAATCAATACAAACTCATAAGAATGATGAACAATCAATTAAAACAAAAAGATTGACATGAAAGAAACTTCACCTTGAGGGATCCTCTACTTTGTCTGCAAGGTTCTGGACAGACTACTAGGAAGCCCGTCAGAATCTCTGGGATTTCTACAACATGGCTCTTCGCCATTTTGCCCGTCCTTCAAAGTACAGAAATAAGAAAAGAAGAGGAAAAAATCATAAAACATCCGAAGCAAATTACTAAGCAAAGCAGATAAAAAGAACATAACCAAATTAAAAACACTAAATCATCAGTTTTTGAAAAAATTCCCAGACAAAAAAGAAAAAGATACAACCAGCCAAGCTCTAGAACCACAATTCACCAAAGCAAAACATTGCCCAAAGGAAATCTAAGCTCAATCCAACAGAGTCCAAGTTCAAAACATTAATCCAGCACTATAGTAGCCATATTGCTAGCCAGCAAATGCAACGGTGAGAAAGGAAAAAAGAAAAAATAGAAAAAATAGAAAAGAAAAGGAAGGAAGAAGATTAGAGAGACAGAGAGAGAGAAAAAAAACCACTAAATCACTAATCCTTCAAGCCCTAGAACCAAAACTCATCAAAGCAAAACATCACCCAAACGGATGCTGAGTTCAATTCAATGGAGTTCGAGTTCAAAACATTAGCCAAGCACTATTATAACCATGTTGCCAATGAGCAAATGCATCCATGAGACAGAAAGAAACAGAAAAAAAGAGAGAGAGAATTAGAGGAATAGGGAAGAGAAAGAACGAAACTCAACTGTAATATTTTTTGAACGAAATGTAACTTAATATAAACTACTTGTAAAATTTTACAATAAAAATGCAATTATTATGTACGAAACCTATATGAATAGTAACAGAATATCATATCTCTATTGTAAAGATGTACAAAAAGTTTATTTAGAGTTACAAAATGTTAAAAAAAATGTTACATTATTTAGGGATGGAACTGTCCCTTCTTCCGTCCTGCCAAGTGTCTATAATCGCACTTTGGGGTGTATTGTGCAACTGCTATAAAAGTTTATGGCGATTTTCTGCATTTAACTCTAAAAATTATTTTTTTTTTAAAATAAAATTTTGAGCTGCGAAACCACTTTTCTTTTGCAGCGAAAGTCTGTTGAGACTTGCGAGTACTGAGGCCATTTTCTCTCGGCAGAGGAGTCTACTGAGACTTGAGACTGTTGAATTGAAGATGGAGGAACTGCAGAAGGCGCTAAATGACGGAAGAAGCTTAACAGTTTCAACTCTCCCAGATAAAGGACGCTGTCTCTTCACCTCCAGACACTTTTCTCCGGGTATCTCTGACTTTCTTTCTCTCTAATCTTCTTCAACTGGAAAAATAGCAGAAAACTAGACATTTTTACTGGCAGTTGAAATTATTATTATTGTTTTCTTTTCCTTTTTTGCGTTTTAACATCTGGGAATTCCTGGGGTTTTTGTTTTGTTTAGGTTAATTTGGTACCATGGTTTACTAGTGTGATAAATTTTGTATTAGGGGAGGTGATAATAAGCCAAGAGCCTTATGTCGCAGTACCAAATAAGAACTCAAATGATTCAAGTTCCAGGTGTGAATGGTGCTTCAGCACTAGGAATCTCAAGAAGTGTTCTGCTTGCCAAGTTGTTTGGTACTGTGGGAGCACATGCCAGGTATATCCTTTTAAATTCATGGTACAAATATTTGTCATTTTGGAATTATATTTTTTAATTTATGCTAGTTTAATCCTGTCTTTTGTTTAGTATTTTCTTTTACGGCTTCTATGGTTGTTCTTCAGCTGTTTATTTAGTATTTTTGCACCCTTTGGATGAGTAAAATTGGAAGAGACAAGATCTAGAGACCGTTGAAGCTTAGGTAAATGAACAGGAGTGTGATGGGCTATGAATCAGAGCCTTTTGTGAATAAAATATTTAATTAATATACTATTTTGGAGTGGTGCATATTTGGAGCTTAAGTATGTCTAAGTTCAAAGGTTTTGCACTACACCCTGTAGGCAATTGTGAAAATCTCCTCAATATTAGGAAAAAAACTCCTGATGATTTACTTGGAACATTGTGAATTGTCTTGGATGAGAGTGGCTTCTTTTGTAGAAATAGCAACAAAAATATAGATTACAAGTCAAAACGAGTAATCAAAAGGGCAGCTACAGTGTTGGGCTCTTCTGCCCTGTCTTAGTAAGGCAAAATAATGCTGCTTTTGCAATTAGACAATGTGATCCAGAGAGGAGATAATAATTTAGACATGATAACAAATGATGTGATACATAATTTCCATAGCGGTTGCTTTTTTCTAATGGTCAAAGCTTTTGTTAATATTTTTTATTTTATCCTCTTACTGGTTAATTTGATTGTGGTATCAACTGCAGAAGACGGATTGGAAACTTCATCGTCTTGAATGCAAAGTGTTGTCTAAAGTTGAAAAGGGGAGGATTAAGTCTCTCACACCTTCCATACGATTAATGGTGAAGCTCTATTTACGAAGAAAGCTGCAAGTTGAGCAGGTGAAGTTTCTACCTCTTGGTATTCACCTCAATTGTTTTAGAAAAGGACTCGATATATGACTATAATTGCACTTGTTCATAGTTGTAAGAGCTTCGTCTCAGTTTTGGGCTTATATCAAGATTCAATACCTTTTATGCTCCCTACTGTGGTTTATATTTGGACTTAATACGCCACCAGAATGCTATTTTTGAGCTGTAGCAATCTTTTGCATGCTGACAATGTTGTCTCCTTTGAACTGATTGTCTGACTCTTGAAGCAGTATATATAGTTCTCAATACAATCCAGCATTTTACTTTCAATTTCTTGATTAACTAGTTGATGCGTGCTGCACTGTGGCTTATTTTTTTCTAGTCCTTTTTTATAAGTCTCACTCACTCACTCACTCTCTCTCCCTCCCCACCCCCACCCCCCCCCCCCCCCCCAAAAAAAACAAAAAAGGCAGACACACTTATTTTATGCATCAGTTACATATAACATGGCATCTCTTGAATATTGAGCAAAATCTTTGTTTCACATGTTTCTTGACTTTGCAAAAGGTATTGTTACTGATATTGGTAAGAGAAACTTTAATTTTGTGGAATAATACCGATTCACTTTGTAAATGGTCTCCTTTTCACCATTTGAATAAAATCTAAGCAATTGCATGCTGACAATATGGTCATCTTGAACTGATTGTCTGACATTCGAAGCACTGTAGTTCTCGATTCAATCCAGTATTTTATTTGCAATCTCTTAAATAACTAGTTGATGCATCATGCACTGTGGTTGTGTCATGCACTGTGGCATCTTTTTCTTGTTTTTTGTTGTTTTTGTTTCTTGGTGTTGTGGATTGGTTGAATGGAATTGGTATTAGATATCTGCCTGCAATTGAATGAGTCTCTCTCTCTCTCTCTCTCTCTCTCCCTGTAAATATGCAGACACATGTTTTTAATACATCAGCTAAATATCACGTGGTATCTCTCAAATATTAGAACAGAATCTTTGTTTCACATGTATCCTGACTTTGCAAAAGGTATTGTTATTGAATAAAATCAATTGACTCTGTTAATGATCTCTTGTATTTTCACCATTTCTATGAAAGCTTATTGAATAAAATCAATTGACTTTGTTAATGAACTCTTGTATTTTCACCATTTCTATGAAAGCTGAGTACTTGAACATGAAGGGATAACCTTCAAAAAAATAGATATTTTCGCAGTTGAGAATTATTTGTATAAATCTTTGAAAATTTGCTGATAGGAGTTGAACAGGATTTGATATCCATAACTTTCCAGAGGATCTATTTGTAATTTTTACATCTCAGGTTCACACACAAATACTGTTCAAATATTTTCTGAATATTACTTTCTATTAAAATTATTGTATACATGTTACAGTTGGATGTTCATGATGTCCATAGCTTATAAGGTTCAGATGCATGAGTTGGTGAGATTTTACACCAATGGGCCTTTACAAACTACATGGGGTTTGATTTGAGAAAGACAAATAGTTAAATCTTTTTGAGATGCGTTTTTGCTCGTACCCATCTCAGCCTGAATGTCTTTGGTTTGTTGACTTAGTTCTGAAGAGTTAGAGAAATATGAATAGTTGATCTTTTTGAGATTCATTCCTGCTCATACCCATCCCAACCTGAATCTTTGGTTTGTTCACTTATTTCCAAATATTTTTTGAAATAATCATATCACTCACTGCTCATGTCACAAAACTGGAGGTCGTTCTTGTCTTTCCCATCCTTCCTAGACATGTAGCACCAGCAATAAGGATCGTGCTGCTGCCATTTTGGCTACCAGAGTGACATCCTTGCTCCTTACCATACAAAAACGTGCTGCCATTAGAGGGACTCTCAACTTTCAGATTATTTTCTTGAATAGTCCATTCCTCCTGTTTCCAGCCATGCATTTTTTTTTCACAGCTTTTTGTAGGAACTATGTATAATTTTCCACCTTCACTATGTGATTTTTAACCTTCTTAATCTATTTAAATACTGTTAATGTGCCTTCTAGGTTATAGCAATGACTTCCACAGACAACTACGGCTTGGTGGAGGCTTTGGTCTCTCGTATCCTTCTTTGTTTTAAGTTCAGTTTTCAACTTGACAGCATTAGCTCTTGGCATTTTATTAACACAGACTTATCTATTTTGTTTTGTTCTGCTTCTTCCTTGACAACTTTATACATACATGTCTGAAATCGATGAGAATCAATTGGTTTTATATGCACAAATGGCGAACCTTGTTAGTTTAATTCTCCAATGGCCTGAGGCCGAGATCAACATAAAGGACATTGCAGTAAATTTTTCTAAGGTATCTTCTTTGATCATTTGTCATGAGCAAACTATTTTTCATGCATTTCAAAGACCAGTATCTGAAATATTATCCTGAACAGTAAAAATTTGAATACACGCACTCCTGTACCAGATGTCGTACTTTCTGATTAGAATACACAGAACTACTGTTTCATGGTTTGCTGATTTATGACTAATCTCCCTAACTAAGCAAATTAGAATGGCACAGGATCTTTAATATGCAGCACCGAAACCAGACTAATCAGCAGCTATTTGAATTTACGTAAGGACAATATTTTTTTAAGCAATGGCCAAGTTTGTGGGCCAGCAACATTATAACTCTTAGAATTAGAGACTCTGCTAGATGAATTTTTTATTTTTTTAAAAACAAAAACTTGTTGCCCCACAGAGTGGGAATTTATTTCTGAGAATTAGCATTGTTTAAGCTGCCCAAGAGAGTTGATGCATTAGATTTTAAGGACAGACAACTTGGAAATCATAGTACCTTGTATCAAACTGAAACTTGCTGTCTAAATTTTGACATACTATGGTTATTATAAATGTACTACTAGTAACTCTGGCAATAAAAGGGCAAATAAATAAGTTATCGATGCAGAGCCTATAGATGAAATTGTGAGATTATTTAGCATAGAACATACTTAAACTGATCCTTCAGAAGAGTACTCAAACTGCATATCTGTTGTTTCAAATTGCTAAATCAATTTTATAAAACCTTGCCAAATGAGCTCATTTGTTTTGGTACTTGAGCTTCTGCTTATCTTCTGATTGTCTCATTATTTTCTGATTATTTCATCTGCCTTTTTGGTACCTTTCTTCTCTTCATCTTGCTTCAATCTGTTTCTCTTAAGTGGATGGGTTTCAGTGAGAGTTTCTTAATATCTTATTCTGAATACAAATGAACTAATTAAGTTCTTTGGAATGAACATAATTTATTAATCAACCTTATAATTTGAGCAGTGTAAGCAACATTCTGTGACTGTCACAATTTTGCTTGGTTGAGAATATGTAAACTTAAAAAGATTCAATCTGATTATTTATTTATTTATGCTAGAAAACCCTTGGTGTCAATGAACTCTTGGCTTTTCAACATGCAGCTTGCTTGCAATGCACACACTATTTGCGATGCTGAACTCAGACCCTTGGCAACTGGATTGTATCCTGTTATTTCTCTTATTAATCACAGGTAACTGATTGAAGTATGTAAATTCTGCTTCAGCACCTCCTCACTTCTGGTCTTTCTTTTGCAGCTGTTTGCCAAATTCTGTTTTAGTATTCGAAGGGAGGTTGGCTGTGGTCCGTGCTGTTGAGCACATACCCAAAGGTACTGAGGTAATATGCGTTAGTTTAGTTTCTTCATTTTAGTTTCATAGAAATGCTTATTGGTTTTACATTGGATGAAACAGAATTAATCTTTTCGTAGGATTCAGATTGGATTTAGAAAGTTTATAGCTTCCTGAGCTGAAGAGTTTTAGAAAATTCACATACCTCACTAGTGGGAATCTGCCGGAAAAAGCTCAGATAGCAACATATAAGGTTTGATGAATCGAGTGTTGCAGATACATGCCCAGTACTAAGATGAACTATGGGAGTTAGAGTGTCACTGTAGATGCATATGGGGTAGTGTTATTAGCCACTATACTGATGGATGTGCTGGTAAAGTTCTATAGATGGCCTAATATTGTATCATTAATGGATTCATGAGCATTTGAAAAGATTCTTGGCCAACATATTCATGGAATAAAATATTTCATGGTGCCAGAGCATCTGGATTTTGACTAGATGGAAAGGTGGAAATCCATGTTGCACCATTCCCTGTAATATCTGAAGAAGATGAAAATTTTATTTCGCAAAATTGCTTATCAAACTTAGCTGGTTCTACTTTATTTGTTTCAATTAGAGCCCTGAAGCACTGTCTCCTAATAGAAAAAGGCATGGTAGGGGAAATTAGTTTGAAAACTTTGTTTAGTCTTATATCCTTTTCTGGGAAAATCACTTTAATAGCTGTCATTAGGAAAACTTGGAACACATTGGATTATAAAGGCCAATATGCTCTTGGATGAGTCAGCAGAATGCTTTTAGGAATTGCTTTCCAATGGAGTCATCAGAATGCTTTAGAGTTGCAGTTAGACTTGACAAAGATTAACCATGTAAAACTTCTACTTTTGGCAAAAGAAGATCGGCTTCACGAGCTAATTTCAAAAGTTATCTCCTTGTCAAAGTAGCTAGTATGATACATAGATTTTATGCTGGATGATCTCTACATAAAAAAGAATGTAGTTTGTGTCCAAAATCCCAGGTCACTATAATACTTATGATGTATCTGAATAACTGCAAGGACATGTTCACTAAAAATTTCTTTTTGATCAATTAGAACCGTCTTCAGAAAAGTACTTGTAGATTGTTACTTCGGTTAGGGATTGATGTCTCTCTTTCCTTTTGGTGTAATGTTTTTTCTGTTACTCTTCTATCATTTATTTGGGATATGAGAGAAAGTATGATTCAAGGAACATTTTTGACTTTGGTCAAAATTTCACGGTTGGTGGCACTCTATTCCTTGATGTTCTTGAAGTGGCATATAAAATCCAAAAATCTTTATTCATGGTTTTCCTAGATCTCAAATCTAAATTTTTTAGGGAGGAAAAATAAAAACTGATATGCTTGCCAAGTGTGCAGTAATGTGTCAAAGAGTTATAGTGTTCTTTAGGCTGTTTTTGTCCTGAGATAGTCCCTCAAAGAATTGGGCTCTGTTTCCTGGACTCGACAGTTTGCTAGGAAGCACCACAGATACCGGTATTGAGTCAGTTTGGATCTGGTCAAAGATGATTGGGGTTACTTTGACTTCCGATTCTATTCAAGCTTTAGCTAATGTGAAGGAAAACTGCTAGGAGAACTGGGTGATGCTAAAAGAGTGGAATCTGGCAATGCTCCGATTGCTTTAGGATATGTATGCTTAATGGGTCTCGTGAGAGTTGATAAGGATTGCCACATGTTATGTGATTGAAGTCTTATAGTCAGCTAAGTTAATATTTGAAGCATTTATCTAGGCTCCTGATATTTGGCTAAAGTAATTAGTATAGCCTTAATTCGAAAAAAAATGAATTGGGTATTTTGCTGAGAAAAAAGAAAAGGAGAAACTGCACAAATAATTATAAACTCCACTATCAAATTAGCAAACATATCTGGAAAGACAGGTAGTGTATATTTATTTAGTCCATCTCTGGACCTGTTACTGACTCTTTGGTGGTGCCACTGTACTTTGATTGCAAAATAACGAGTTCAACACCTACACATGAAACAAACCCGACACTCATACTCGATCCAGGTAAGATAGCTCATGGGGCATTTGGGGAAAATCACTTGAGTTTATTATTCACAGATCCCTTGGCCATGAGTCCGAGAACAGTGCAGTTGATGGAGAACAAGTTTTAAGAAAAACACTTTTGTTTATTTCTAGGTGTAAATGGATTGGTTAAGTGGTCTATTTGCAACTCTCCGACCTCGATTGGTTATACCAGTTAGGAAAAATTGCTAAACATTCCCAATGCTCTTCAACTGGTTCTGGTTTAAGAGGTTAAGCTGCACAGGGTAACCAGACCCTATAAGGTTAATATACATATTCCAAAAATAATATATATAAATATGTAAATAAAGGGAAAATTAAGGCGTGAAATGTTAGTATTGAAAAAAGTATGTTCGCAAAAATTGCACTATAAATTAGCATACATTTTGCCAAAAAAAAAAAAAAGACATGGAATGTTAGTCTTCAGAAAAGTACTCACAAATACTACAGTACCACATAAAAGACATGTCCAAATTAAGGAGAAATTGCAGTTACTGTGGAACAAATCTGCTTTCAGCATCATTGCTACTTGTATTCTACAATTTTAATAAACAACTTCATTCCTAAATATATCATTAATATGAAAATTGCAAAATGATGGAAGTATTCTTCTCCAATATAGATGATAGGTTCTCATGAGTTTAATATTATAGCTCTTGGAATTTCTAAGGTAAAGTAGTAAAAGTAGTAAAGTGTTTGCCGTATTCTAATTTACTCTTCTGATCTTTCTTATAAATAAAGAGGCTTACGTTGTTCCAAATCTATTCTTGAATACAAGACATAGTTCAGTTTAAAGTGATTTTAGACCTATTCAGTACTTGTTTGTGTACTTAAGTTTAACTTTGCATGCATCTGCATGTGTGAAGTAAACTTTATGGAACATTGAGGCAGACCTAACTAGGTAGATAATTGCCTTGTTTGATGGCTATATAGGAATATGAGGTAAATTTTATAAAACAACCTAGATATCCACCCTGTTGCAATTCTATATAGGAATTTGAGAAATCTGCAACTCCAAAGAGGAAGATGCTCTGAACAATAATTTGTCAAACAATAAGTGAAAGATAAGAACCAAAATATGTTGTCAAATCTTTAGTTGTATTAAATCGTAATTAAAGTTTCCTTGCTTTTAATTTTCTGTGTGAACGCTCCATTCTTCCGCCTCTCTCTCTTTCTCTCTCGCACACACATGATACAGGCTAATATATTTCAGCCTTCCAGATACATATTTGATCAATATCTACGGAGCAGTTTGTTTGAGATGAGATTTTATGTTTTTATTTAAATTTATACTTCTAACTATTGAAATTTTGATTCAGTTTGTTTGAGATGAGATTTTATGTTCTTTTTTTTTTTTTAACTTCTCACTATTGAAATTTTGATTCTCTATTTATGGATAACTTGCTTTGCTGGCTCTGAAGGTACTGATAAGCTACATAGAAACTGCAGCAAGCACTATGACTCGTCAAAAGGCCCTCAAGGAACAATACTTTTTTACTTGCACTTGTCCCCGCTGCATTAAAGCGGTATTGAATTTGCCTTTTCCTTCTAAGAATACCTTCGTTTGGAACTACACTTTTTGCTTGAATTCAGCCAATAAGCTGTATAATGTTCAGGGCCAATATGATGATATTAAAGAAAGTGCAATCCTGGAAGGTTATTGCTGCAAGGATAACAGTTGCAGTGGTTTTCTGCTCCGTGACCCTGGTAGATGTGATTGTGGTTAATATTTCTCCACCATTTCTGAAGCCCCTAACCTTGCTCTAGTCTGATGAGCTTTGTCTCGCATAACTTCCAGAAAAAAGGGGATTTGTGTGCCAAGAATGTGGACTGCTTAGAGAGAAGGAAGAAATTAAAGACATTGAATGGGAAGTCAAATATTTGATAGAAAAAGCTTCCATGTGCTCCTCTGGAAGTATCCTTAGAAGTTTTTGGTTAGATTATTGTGCATTGGCAATATGATGCTGTGCTGATAACAGAATTACTGACTTTACATCTGAAAGTCCTTTTCCTTTTTCTCTTATTAAAAGATTGAAGAATGTTTTTCCTAACAAACTCGGTACTTTTGTCGGCCAACAAAGAAGTAGGGGATGGGGGCTGGGAGAGTGAAAGGTCTACCATGATGATACAATGCTTGGGAAGTTTCTTTCAAACATTTGCTGTTCCTTTACTAGATTTAGATAAAATAGATGCTAGTTTGACGTACAAGGCAGTTGAGAAACAACAGTTGGAGCTGTGCCATCCATTCTCGATTAATCTAATGCGGACAAGGGAGACTCTTCTGAAGGTATGGTGCAATGACTTGATCTTTCTAACATGCATCTACATACTTTTTTGAAGTTTGTATCTGTAAACCATAATTGGATGGAGAACCAGCAACTGGGGTTCAATTATTTACTTGGAACTGTAAGTTGTGTCCTTGCTGTACAAATATTGGTCTCATGATATTGGATCCTCGTCCTTGTTTGTTCTCCATCGGAGTATGATTATCACAAGTGAAACACATTAAATCTTTTAGGGGAGAAATATCCTGTTGATTAAATAGTAGTAGATTAATCTTTTACAGATATACATGGAGCTTCAAAATTGGAAAGAGGCTCTAGCATATTGCAGATTTGTTATCCCTATCTATGAGAGTAAGTAGCATCCAGGTAGAATTGTTTACCTCTTGAGTTGGTGGTTTAGTCTTTGTAGTTCCATGAAGGGCTTTGTGAAAGCTAGTGCAGTTCTGCTGATCTTTATATTTAGCATATTGTGTTAATGATCTGTCATTAACAAAAATCATGCATATACCTGAGGTAAATATTACTTTTCAAACTTGTGATAGATTTTCTGATCTTATGAAATTGAAATTACCAAATGGGTCAAGATTAGTTGGATATATTTTCACTTCCGCTTTGGTACTGCATGGAGACATTTAATATGCCATGCATGGTACTCTACATTATGTAAAAAAAAAAAAAAAAAGGAGATATGGGCATGTATATACATTATATGTATATTTGTTTTCACCCGTGTGTAATGTGTATATAGAGATGCATAAATACGTGCAGACAGACTTATGATATTGCAAACTGACACTTCTAGTTTTCAAGACAACCAAAGACTCTTGAAACCTTGCCAGAAGGGATTAAATAGGCAAAATGTAACAGTTATATTATGCTGCCAAATCCAAGGGTCAGTAGTTGATGTTTTGGAGGCTCCCTGAGGCGATTCTAATCTGCTATTTATGCTAATAAGTAAAACAATGAGGAAGACCGAATGTTGCGTTAAAAATGAATTTGGTTTTGAGTATCTTAAAATTTTAGGAATATAATAAAGAGAAGAAATATATGAAGCAAGTGCCTAGCCACAGCTCTTACTGGTTTAACATTTTTTTTTTGGGGGGGCAGTTTGCTGTATTAGTTGATCATAAATTCCTAGTAGGGACTGGTAGGTAGTTTAGAATATGTATGAAGAAAATGAATTGAAAAACCAATTATTCAAATCCATGTCTGCTATCTACCCTTTCAATACTGGTTTTATTGTCAATTCCGTCAGAATACCAGATCAAATCTATCAATAGAAGTGTTTAGAGTTTCCCATGGACTATCTATAATGAAATTCGGTTTAAATATGTATGGACTGATCATAAACTAGAAGGTTAAGAAAAAAAATGAAAAGCTTGAAGTAGAATTATAAAAGACAAAGGGCACCTTCATTTCTCTTTGTATATAAAATTAAGTGGATTTAAAAAAAATATGGATAGTGCTTTATAGTACTCCAGCAGAGAAACGAAATATGGTGATATCTCTGCTTATGAGGAATCAGTTTTATTCATTACAATTCTCAAAGGAAATCTATATCTAACTTCTTTTTATATTTGATTAGTACAAAATTGTTATTAACGCAGAAAAGAATATCAGTTTACTCTTGGTTTCTGTTCAATGATAGAGGAACTTGGGGTCTTTGATCTTTAGAGAGTTGTATTTTGGGGATGGATTAGTTTTAAGTCCTACTTCTCTCCTTTCCTCTTTGGTCCGTAGACTAATGAATTTTTACTGAGACATTTGTCAGCTAAGGACTCATCAGACCAGCTCTAATCCTATTAAGCAAATTCTTTCTTCAAACCCTGTCCCTCTCTTTAAAGTCATTAAACCGAATAGATGTCTCTTCATATTTTGGTATCTTTGACTATATTATCGTTATGCATAATTTATGAAATTAATGACTGAGATCTCCTACTAATAATAGCAGTGGCTGTTGGGCATTAGTTTAGTATATCCTGCACATTGGGAAGTGAAAGGTGAGAGATCAACCACCATGCAATCTGACTTTGAATAGGAAGATTTTGTGGTAAGCAGTAAGTAATTAGAAAGGCGAGGTGTTAATGAAATTATGTTAGTTGTTTGATGTAAGGACAATGAGTAATAAATTATCATTTTAGCTGCAATTTAGCAATAGTCATGGTCCATAATCATGTTGAAATTTGAAGTGAAAGTTGTATTTTGTTTGTGTCTGTTATTTAATTTAATAAAACTTTATTTCCATGAGAATGTATCCATCTCATATGTTAGATCCAAACATTTCCATCAGGTTGTCTACTTAGATTTGTTATTGTACATTCAGCTTTTTGAACAATCTTTTTTTCAAATTTTGTTCTTTATGTTGGGTATGTTTTCTTCTAATGCACCATCCTGTTTCTTTAACAGGAGTATATCCGCGCTTACATCCTTTGGTTGGTTTGCAATATTATACTTGTGGAAAACTTGAATGGTTAGAACTTAACCTTTTGTTTCTTGTTTTTCCATTTAACTTGAAGATCAGTCTGGGTATTTGGTTTCAGGTTTTCATGATAATTCTTGTCACCTAGCCTATTTCTGAATCCCGATGGGCTGTATACTGCATAAGTTCGTTTGCATCCATCATTCCTGTTGCCTGTCCCTGTAATTGATTACGAATGAAACTTTGATGCTGAGTGTATAGGTGAACAATTTCTGGAGTGTAATTTCCTTTAGCAGTAGAGTTGCAAACCTTGTCTATTCTGTCAGTGGTGGCATTTTTAGGAGTGAAGGGAATGAGATGCCTTTTCCTCTGGGTAGGGACCTCAGTTAATGCTACAAATGGCTCCATAATCCAGGGCACACGAGAAGAACACCATAGAGGGGGGTGGGGCTGAGAGAGAGAAAAAGGGAGACAGAGAGACGTATTTGTCCAGCCAGTAGATTTGTAATGTATTTGGTGCTTCAGTGTGTCATAACTTTCCAAACAGATGTCACAAGACAGAGTTAATACTAATTGATCAATATAGAAAGGGTCTAATAATTAGGATGTGGTTACTTTTGAGAGGTTCCCTGGTTCAAGGCTGTAACTGTAAATTAGGCTAGAGTTACTAATGCACTGGGGGATGGACTTGAATGTGTAGAATTGGACACAATATGCATCTATTAAGGAGGTTTAAATTGTGTATGGTTAATGCATTACCCTTAGTTGGATGGAAACCTTAGACAGACAGTAGTTTATTTGTAGTTTTTGACCCTGAATTTAGTTGGACTGATAGCTTACCTCAAGTACATGTAGAATTTATTGTGTCAATCTAGAATTTGATTCTTTAATATGAACAAAGATTCTAAGGTATCTTGAGGTGAGATGTCAAGTATTGTTACAATACATACCCCTATTTTCCTCGTGAAACCTTGATTGGTATCATAATCCTTGCTTGAGCTTCTGCATCTACCAAACATCCTCCTTGAGGGTTGCATATTGCTGTGCCTTCCAATCTCCTTTTTTCCATACATTTGGTTCCCAGCACATTAAACCATCATCCACGGTTGAATAAATCCATTACGCCTTAAGCGGCTTGACAGCCTTGCTGAATGAGCCCGGTTGGTACCATAAGTGACCCATAGCAACAACCGTTACTCTAGTATTTATTACGAGACTTGTTTAATTATGTATCTGGTAAAAGAGTTAACGATTATAGATAACCTTCAAAGCTTATTGTCCTTGATAATGTTTTTTAAGTGCTTTCTCTCTTCTTGTTTCCTTTTCTAAAGACTCGATTTCCAAATAGCATGTCCACCTCCAGCTTAGCTTTACTTACATTTTTCAATTAATTTGACTTTGTTTGACTTGATATTTACAATTTGAAGGTGTAGAAGCTACGAAAATCCAATCTTCTGTCTCATATGTAGGGCCAAGCAATTTCATTACATTTATTATAAAGCCATTTTTCAGAAGGTGCAGTTTCTCGAGAAGAAAGAAATTATTACGGAATCTCTTCGAGTCTTACATATTGGTTTTATTCTTCTGAGAAAAACACCAAAAGAAAAGTAATACCCAGACGGATGCACACACTTGAGCCAAGAATCATTTGCCTTCTAGTAATTTCCAAGCTATTGATAGCTTCTTAGTACAATAGAAATGTATGAGAATTTAGTTTCCACTGTTCTTTTCAATCGCTAGATTTAGAATCTATAGGGAGCTAAAATCTCCAGGAATCTTTTGATTCACACATGAAATTGGGGATCGCTAAGCGCGTTTCCATCTCAGGTTTCTTGGAGAGACTAATGAAGCCATCCAGTCATTAACCAAGGCAGTGGACGTATTGCGAATCACTCATGGAACAAGCACCTCTTTTATGAAGGAACTCCTGATTAAGTTGGAGGAAGCACGTGCTGAGGCATCTTACAGTCTTTCATCCAAGGACGATCAGTGAGATTTTCCCATTCAGATGCGCACCCAAGCAATGTAAGGTGGTGTATATTTCCATGAATATGATGTTGTTATGATAATCTGAAGATCTCTAACCTTGTGCATCAAGTCTTTGGGAGCTCACAACCCCATCCTATGCATGAGAGAGATTTCGAGATTCGAGATTCAGAGATCAGAGATAGATAGGTGGCTACAGAACACCGTTGTATCAAAAGGGAGAACTTTATCAATGTTCTTGTAACTGTTGCATATTGAGATGAATAGGAAATCGAAACAGCTCAAGAGCCCAGGAATATGCTTTGCTTTAGTTCTTCAAATTAGTATGTAGAAAAAGAAGAGTCCTACATAACTTTGGTCAAAACATCAGAGGGATGCTCTCGAATGCAAGAGAAGCGGCAGAGCGATAAAGTTTGCACTAATTTTGATTTTATAGTATACATTGGTCTACTACGGGGTTTTTCATACATCATATTAGCATTATATTGCAACTCATATAAATAAGGAGATTTAAAGAAAATGGGCAGCCGACATAATTAATTATGCTTGCACGATGTTTAAACTCGCTAAACAATTCTAAACCAGTGTTGGAGTTTTAATTATTTCACTATGGAAGAAAATCTATAATAATGAGGCTAATTCCAATGAAGTGTAGTCGGCATGTTAGGGAAAATGGGCAGCAAATTGCGACTGCTAGGGCAATTCAGTTAAAGTTCTAATTTATTATGGTATCCTTGTATTATATAAGAATGAGTTTAGATTAAAAAGGGCTTTAAATTTCAACAGTAAGGGTAGAGGCATTTTTTGATTGTAAGGTTATTTGGAGTGTAGTTATTGTGTGGAGTACAATTTATCGTAGAGTTTGTTTTCTTGTTCTTTCAGAAATGGCTTTTGTTTGTAAATGCAGTATAGTTCAATTTGTGTTTTTTGAAACGTATGAGACCCTGTTTGAGGTTGTGGAACTTTTGGTAAAAAAGTACTTTTAGGTGCTAAAAGTACTTTTAAAGTGTTTGATAAATATCATTCCATAAAATTAGGAGTAGAGCTTTTGATGTTAAAAGCACTTTTGACAAAAGTTCAAATTTGGTGTTTTTAGAGTAGCTTTTGTGATTTAAAAAATAAAACATCAAATTTAATCATCTTATTCCATATTATAAACCAAATAAAGAGATAAATACTTTTAAAAAATTTTTAAATTACACATTATCCAGTACAACAAGAACTTATTGAATTATATCTCCAAATAATATATTTAAAAGCACTTAAGCAGTTGATAAGTACTTTTATTAAAAACTCTACTAGGAAAGTATTTTTCAATAAGCCACCACAACCCCAAACGGCCTGAGTATTTTTGAAATGTGTGGTTATCTTGGTTGTTTTTATAGCAACAGGTACAAGTTATAATAGCTTTTGTATTGCTGTAATAATCTAAACAACCTCAATTCTTCATTGGTCTTTGTTCCTTCTGTGCTTTTTTCCTTTGTTTCTTTTCTTGTCATTCCGTGCCTTCCTGTTTCACAAAATGTAAGTGTATAGCATATTTATGAGCAAGAGAGATGTTAATATATTAATTAATAGAAATCATTAGGAAAGTTATATTGGATGCCCATAATCACAATATAACAGCCAACTTGTTCAACTTTTTCTTCTTTACTATCACTTTAATAGCACCAAAGTTGAGGTGCTTATCAATTGGAATTTTACTCCTTCCTGATCAGTTCCTCTGAAACATTTCCTTTCATTATCAAAATTTGTTTCTTTGCAACCTCTTCTTTCCTTCCATTCCTTTCATTTCAATACCCAACTAGTGATGTGACAAAATTCAAGTGCACAATTTATACCTATGGCTTCTAATTCCAATTCAGGTGAGTAATTTATTCTCACTTTGGCTTCACGGTTTCTAGACTTCAAATGCAAATCTCTGATTAATTAAGTTCTATTCCAAACTTCATATTTGCTATTTCTTTAGTCCTAACATAATTATTATCAGCTTTATACACACGAAGAACAATAATTGAAGACTTACTCGAGTTGTCAAAAATCTAACGTCTCACTCGCAATTAAATACTATTATTCAAGTGATTAAAAAACAAAAACTACAATACTCAGAAGATGAAAAATGCTATCAAATTGCTCTTCGTTAATGGTTAGGTAATGTACAATAATTCCAACCATACAAAGTGAGCTCTATCTTTTTTTACTCCTACTTCAATCACTATTAGCATAATCATTGACATGTATGATTTTAGTTTATATATTTATATGCCTATTCCTTGTTTCTCATTTTCAAACAAATGCTTTATATGAGTGTTAAGGAAAAGCAGAGGTTTTGATGTAGCAAAACAAAAAAAGATCTTAATTTATACAAATAACTAACTTGAATTTGTGATAATTTGTAAAATATTATGCTTCTAATTAATGAGTAGGATAAATCACAAAAAATACATCAATTTGCTTTATAGCCAAAATAGAGTAAATTATAATTTGATTTGTTAATTAAGTCTTTCTTCATTTGCTTTGTTCATGGATTTATCCATAATTTTTTTAATTCATTCAATATCATTAAGGGATATGTGACTATACCGCAGAAAACTCATTTATTTTTAATATATTTAATAAATATTATTTGTTAATTGAGAATGATTTAGCCAATGAGTTGTCTAGTCAAATTTTCTACCTAACATTTTCTTCTAATACATTTTTATTGTACAGGGATAAAAGATTGAAGCGCTAATTTATGGTACAAATATAGAATTTTTAATCAAACTTTTAACACCTATAAAAGTATTACATCTCCAAAGCAAAAGTTCAACCCATTTTGACCATAAGTTCCAAAAAAAAAAAAAGGAATATTCATGGATCATCAACACCACAACTACTGTCCAATAATTGCAAGAAATTGACAAGCCACTCATTTCAGATGTCTCCATTTCCCACCTTAACAGTAATTACAAAATAGATACGATCCAAATTTTCTTTCAAAAACTAACAAGTATGTATGCCTCTTCAATAACAATATCAAAAAAATTCATATGTTCAAATCCTCCTGCAATTGCTGTTCACATTCCATCACAGCCTATAACAACAAATCTACGTACCAAACAAGTCATCATTTTTTATCAACAATTTAACAAACACCTATTCAATTAATAAAAATGCACTATAAATATATTCTCACTAACAATCTTATAGAGCCGTCAACTAATAGCACCAACTCTTTGGCGTGAATATGACAATAATGAGGACCAACATATAGCTAACATTGCTCTGGCCCCTATGCAAGCATCCTACCATAGTAAGCATTACAAAAAATACAAATATTCAAGCAGAACTACTACACTCAAAAATAGCTTCTAATAATACATTAAAAAATTTTGCAACTCTCAACCTATCTACAAGATAATAGAGACAACACAAGGAAAGACATTACTACATTAGACAACTACCATCTATAACAAAAAGCTAAATCCAACAGACTACTACTTTAGTTTCATGCAAATACAAGAGGCACTATGACGGAAACTTATGGATTCCATTTTACCTAATCTTCCATTCTCATTAAGTTTAATATATAGTTACACTTAATTTTTTAATAGCTTTGTTTTTCTTATTACAAATTATACTTCTATACTATTACACCAAGCAAAAACTACAAACTGTCTTAAACCATAGGTACCAAATCGCGCACGGGCTACCCCGTAGTCTTAAAGATAAATTATTGTTACTTGGCTATAACATTAGTGATAAATAATGAAGCAATAGTTAAGAGAGTCTACAATTGTTAGATTTGGTATATTAGATACATATTTAGAAGATAAATTATATATAGTAACTAATATTTTTTATTTCAAATTCACATTGTCATACCTCAATGGTGAAAATTTGTTTCCTACTGAAGTGTATAGATAAAGTACTTACATTATGATCAGAATACTAGCTAATGAGCCTAAGACTATGTGCGAGGGTTGCCCTTTTTGTGAGATTTTGAAGAGAGGCCTATACTAACAATGCTAATGCAATTGGTATAGTATTTAGAGCATAATACATATTTGAATATAATTTAGTATGATCGGAGGAATAGGTTCAAAGTTTGGCTGACCTAAATTGGGCAGATAAGTTGCTGACGATTTATTTATATATATAGTAAATATATTTGGTTTTTGGAGTACAGGAATTACAAATATTTGAACTCATAATAGTTGTTAATCAAGAGAAATATTAGGTAGCTGGCATGGGATTGCTACGTCTGCATTTGGAGCATTGCATTGTATCCTGTCAAGTAAAACTAAGTGTTATGATTCTATGATTCATAAAAATGGATAGGTAATTAAAAACAGATTTGAGTGCATTTGCTTGCGGAATATTAGGGTTGTACATTATAATTGTGTGTTTATATGTGTATGTGTATTTTTTTTTTTGCATAACCAGAAATATTGATGCGAGTGATTCAGGCGTTGGTAGACATGTGGAAATATACATCATTATCTTGATATTCAAGCCAATAGTTGGATCAATTGGTAACGACAGACCGCCTCCTCATAAAGGTTGTGTGCTCAAATCCCACTCCTGATGTGAGAACTGTGTTGGTAAGTGATATGTAAGAACTCATGTAAGCTACCTATGGTCCTAGGGGCATTGCTATGATCAAGTAGGAAATGGATTGAAATTGTGCGCAAAGCAGCTTGAGGTGGACAAAGCTTGGTGCCAGTCATCACAAGGGACTTTATGCCGAAATCTTCAGAAGTTTTTCAAGTTTTGCATCAGTCAATGTCCTTGTCGGACATTGGCAAAAACCTGCTCAAACTCAACTTTTGGCAACTTTTCAAGACCAAATTCTATCATACTTGGACTACAAGTTTAGGAAGCTATAAATGTGACGCCTCCACTTCTCCCTAAGGCGAACCAAAGGTTATCCGCGGGACACTTGCCCAACTCTCGCCAGGACTCAACGATACATAACAATTAATACAATCCTAATAAAGAAAAGTTGCTTCCATAATCGAATATCCAAGTCTTACACCACGAGTTCAAAATACATCAGTTATCCAATGCTTACATCAAGCCAAAAGATACATCAATTCCCAAAATATACAACAACCAAAATGTCTAGTCAATTACATTTGAAACCCTAATACAAAAGTAAATCCAAAGGGTTTCTCCGAGTTTCACTCCACATCCATTCCTGTTAAGGAAAACAAATCTACGGGGTGAGCAATTGCTCGTGAGGCCAAGAACACAAATGCAAGCACGTTGTCCAAGTAACAATCCCAATTAACGAGTAGAACAATAATATTCAAGTAAATGACAATTCAAGCGAGAACAGTAAACAGAAACAATTCAAGGATATAGGAGGTCTCAGGAGCTATTGTCCACTTGCATGATCAAGAACTTCCACGAGTTGACACTCATCAATCGAGCAAATTATAGTCCGTAAAACATCACTTATCCTGTCC